AAAAAAAAAAAAAAAAAGGCAAGAGTGGCTAGAATGCTCACACGGTTTAATAGAGTACAATCAAATAGAAAAGGGCAAACTGTTAACCAATACATAAAAAGCCATCCGGATATAATGGCAAGAGTAGTAGCTTTTTTGGTTTAGAATAAATTATGAGCAACAGTAGATGAAATGGTCCTAACTTCCTCACTCGCCTAGACTAATTCCACCGAATAATTGCCACCTCCCACCAGCAACAAGTATCAGGTAACTCTGTCCACCAAGGCTTGACAGATGAGAAGAAATCCCCTAGTGTGTTTGCCTATGCTGGGATTTGAACCTGAAACCTCATAGTTCTCACCCACTTCATTGACTACTAGGTCACTCCATTGGGTGCTACATGCAACAAGTCACCAAAACCTCCAACAAAGCAAAAATTTATCTGTAGATAACAGAAATTTTCATTTTAAGTGTCCACAATAATGGAGTAGATAGGTTATTGTCTCCTTATATGGTCTTGGGTAATGCTCACGTCATGAGCTAGCTTTTGAGGTTGAGTTAAGCTCAAAGTCCATTTCTTATTACGGGATGCACACGTTGTCAATCCTCCGTGATAAACCCAAAAACAAAAGGGACAAAACAGAGCCACAATTCACGACACGTTCTCCCAATTTGTCCCAAAACCCCTCTAAACAATATTCACTAGTTTTTTCAGGTAAGCCAGTAAATCCATCTGTTGACCAGCTTAAATGTAGGGAAGAATCATATTTTAATTAATAGCTTGATTGTAGGAAGATTGTACCATAATTAGCTTAACTGAATATTCTATCATTATTCTCTCTTTTCTTTCCTAGAATAACTGTAGGACTTTTGTATAATTTGAGGTGAGATGTAAAATACACAAGAAATACAGAGAAGTTTTCTTCTTCTAGAATTTGACATGGTATCAGAGTCATTGTTACCTTGTTGAGGTGAGTTATCTCCCTCTGCAGCGCTAGGGTTCCTTTTGTATCAAAGAGGGCGAGTTTTTCTCCCTCCTAGTGGTTGTCCGCAACTTAGACCCTTTCTCATTAGTGTTTTTTTCAAAGACCAACACCACCATAAGCCTCATCTTGCACCGGCGACCAAACTCCAGCAAATAGCTTCGTCAAAGACCGCCTCATGCGCTTACACGCGCCACCAATAGTGTGAACTCCGGCGACGTATCTATCCCACGTGCCGGCGCATAGACCTTTTTCCATTAACTTTTTCTGTAAATTTTTTTTCTTACTGGGATTATGTCAGAATAGCCAATGGCTCCATAACTCATGTCTCTGGAATAAATTTTATTTTCTGTACACCTGATATTATATTATAATTCGTTCTTCATGTACTTGAGTTTCCTGTTAACTTATTATCTGTAAGCACCATCACAAAAAACTTTAGGTATTGTCAAGTTCTTTCCTGATCGTTGTGTTTTTCAAGAACTTTAAACAGGGAAGATTGGCAGTGGTAGATTGCATGATGACTTATATTGGATTGATTAACTCGAGACTTTGATCAGTCTTTTTTAGGAAATAAGGTTGCCAACCAAGAAATAATACAGTGACTTAGAGGGTTGGGGCACCCATCAATTTTTGCTTTGAAGAAGTTCTACCCTAGTTTGTTTTCCAGAACTGAGTTTGAATCTTTGTCTTGTAATGCTTGTGAATTTGCAAGCATACTAGAAATTTTTGTCCGTTAAGTGATACTAAAAGTACAATTCCTTTTTTGACTATTCATTCTAATGTATAGGGTCCTACTCAAACATTTTCTTTGTCTGGTAGTCAATGATTTGTTACTTTTAAAGATTGTTGCACTAGAATGACTTGGTTGTATTTGTTAAAGACCAAAAGTGAAGTTTTCTCGTGCTATCAGTCATTTTATAAGATGATTAGTACTCAATTTGAGGCAGTGAGAATGCACGGGAGAAAAATCTATTTATTAACAATAATACAATGAGCCCTATATATAAAACATAGGGCAAAGGTTCAAATATGCACTTGTACTATACGAAATTGAGCACATTTGCCTTTCATTAATATTTTAGCTCAAATATGCCATTACCGTCACATAGTTGGTCCATATATACCCTTAGAGTTACACAGTTGGCCCATATATGCCCTTTTCGAAACGGAATTCACCCAAACTAATTAGCTCTTTCGTTAATTGTATTAAATTGTATTACAAACACCATTTCCTTTTTATTAGTACTTTTTTTTACCTTTCTCTTTTCTTTGCTCTTTTTTCTTTTCTTCTCTTTTTTTTTTCCTTTTTCTTTCTCCCTTATCTGTTTCCTCCACTACTGATGTCTTCTCCATTTTCGTCACCAATTTCATTTGAAAAAACTCATGAATTCCAATTACTAAGAAAATTCTCCCATAAGGTAATCAAGTTCCAATTTCACTGGCCCTCTAAATAAACGAAATTAAATTATTTCAAAAATGATGGTTTAAACTTTAAAATAATAAAAATATCTCAACCTTTAACAATACTCAAAAGACCAAAATATTAAATTTTTTCCAGAAAAATAATTTAATGATTAAAAGCCTAGAGTGCAAGTTGTAGTGTTATAAATTTGAGTTGTTAGCCTTTTTTAGTCTTTTTTAAGCTCGACATTTTCTATTTTTTTTTTATTAACTATGAAAATTAGGGGTGTACATGGAACGGGTTAGTTCGATTTTTATCAAAACCAAACCAAACCAATTATATCGGTTTGGATTATTCGGTTTTGTTGGATTTTTCGGGTTTTTTTGTTACATAAATATTATTTCAATCTTACTTTGTTAAATATTTTAGAACTAAATATATGTTCAGTAAAAATTAAAAAATTGACAAACATATGATCTGTAAAAATATTCTTATGGGAGAATTTTCTTAGTAATTGGAATTCATGAGTTTTGTCAAGTTAAATTGATGACGAAAATGGAAAAGACATCAGTAATGGAGGAAATCGGATAAGGGAGAAAGAAAAAGGAATTAAAAAAAAGAAAAAGAAAAGATAAATAAAAAAAAGTACTAATATAAAGAAAATAGTGTTTGTAATACACTTTAATACAATTAATAAAAGAGCTAATTAGTTTAGGTGGATTCCGTTTCGAAAAGGGCATATATGGGCCAACTGTGTAACTCTAAGGGCATATATGGACCAACTATGTGACGGTAAGGGCATATTTGAGCTAAAGTATTAAAGAAGGGCAAATGTGCTCAATTTCGTATAGTACAAGGGCAAATTTGGACCTTTTTCCGTAAAACATATTATACTCCTCTTACATATGAGACTAGGACATATTCTACTCCTACTACATATAGGACTAGGATTATTTACACATAACCATCTAACATTCCCCCTTAAGCTGGTACATAAAAATCATATGTACCGAGCTTGTTACATATGTAACTAATACGAGGACCAGTGAGGGACTTGGTGAAAATATCTGCAAGTTGATCATTCGACTTCATACTACAAAATAGGTTCTAAAACACCACCAGAAAACAGAAACCTTTTCTGGAAATTACTGTTCACCTTGGGAAATCATTGTTCACGTCGGAAAAAATGCACTATTCACGCCAAAAAAAATAAAAGTTGTCACAATTTGATGTACTTTATATGGGTAGGCTCGGAATCACTGGACGACTAAGTTGTCCTGAAGAAGTTTTGTCAAAAAATGGTCGGAATGGCTCACAGGAGCCGGAAAGTTATTGTAGCTCGCCGGAACCCTAGTTCTGGCGGCGCGTGGAGGCGCGTAAGAGACTTTCTACCGGAGCGATTGATTGGGGTTTTGTCACCTGACTTTTCCGAACAAGATGGTAGTGTTGGTTTTCGCACAACAGTTACCGATGAGGAGATAACGCAAATCAATCTTGAGTCGCCAACCGAAAAAACGCACGGTGACTGACTTTTTTGTTCCAATGGACTGGAATTTCTAGGGTTTGGTCGCACAAGGGTTTTAAATCTGATGGTGGTACTGGTATATGGACAGTACCACTGTAGCAGTGATGAACCCTGGGAACAAGACGAAGTTGCCCGAAAATTGCACGGCGACGAGATCTTTCTTCCCGGATGTCGCTGGAATGACGCACAACGATAATTTTCTCACTGAAGCTCTGATACCATGGGAGAAAAATCTATTTATTAACAATGATACAATGAGCCCTATATATAATACATATTCTACTCCTATTACATATGAGTAGGACATATTTTACTCCTACTACATATGGGACTAAGATTATTTTCACACAACTATCTAAAGAGGCTAAGATAAAAATTTTGGAAACTAACAACGGCACAAAATACCTTTCGAGAATATGAGCCTTATTTCAATATTATGAGGAAGATATGATTCTCCCAAGTTCCACTATTGAAACCACTACCACTGTGGAAAATAAAATTGGAGAAAGAATTCAGGGGGAGACTATTAGGCGTTTGGAAAGGCTTGATGTGAAAACTTACTCAAGCAGAAATAGAGTAGGAGAAGTCATCATGCAATCTGCCGAAGTTGAATCTTCTTCTAATGGTGAGTTATCTACATTTAACGAGGTCCGGGGAAGGGTAGAACCACAAGGGTCTATTGGCTACAAACGGGTCTTCACTATGAAGCACAAAACTGACAGCTCAATTGGAAGATTCAAAGTAAAACTGGTGACTAAGGGATTCACTCAAACTTATAGAGTGGATTATCAAGAGACATATGCCCATGTTGCTAAAATGAACACTATCAGAATTCTTTTGTCTTGTACAACTATCTTGATCGCGACTTACAATAGTTTGATGTGAAGAACACACTTCTTCATGGAGATTTCGAAGAAGAGGTGTACATGGAGATTCCTCCTGGATTTGATACTGATCAAAGTCAAGGAAAAGTAGGCATATTGACGGAAGCCTTGTACGGACTAAAGCAGTCCCCTAAAACTTGGTTTGACAGATTCTGCAAAGCAATGATCTCATTGGGCTACCAACAAAGCAATGATGATCACACCCTCTTTATAAAAAATCAAAAGGGTAAACTCACTCTTCTAATAGTTTATGTTGATGACATAGTAATGACAGGAGATGATCCAGTTGAAGAAGTTGAAGAAGCTGTTGGCATAGGAATTTCAAATCAAGAATCTAGGAAAATTGCATTACTTCTTGGAATTGAGGTTGCTAGATCAAAAAGAGGAATCTTTATTTCTCAAAGGAAGTATATTCTTGATTCTCTTGAAAGGAACCGGTATGACAGGTTGCAAACCGGCAGAATCGCCCATTGAAAGTTATCACAAGTTACAAAGTGAAACTAGAGAGTCAGTTGATAAAGAAAGATATCAAAGACCGGATTCAGTAGTCAACCTGGTGAGTCAGTTCATGCATGATCCTCGAGACCCTCATATGCAAGTTGTCCTTCACATTTTACAGTATTTGAAGTCTGCTCTCGAAAAAGGTATGCTTTTCTCCGAACATGGTCACCTCTAGATAGAAGCCTTGACAGACGCGGATTGGGCTGGATCTCTATTGTAAACTCGTAGGAGGAAACTTGGTTACTTAGAGAAGCAAGAAGCAAAGTGTAGTTGCCAGATAAAGTGCAGAGGAAAAATATAAAGTTGTTGCCCAAGGTGTCAGTGAACTTTTGTGGTTACAAAAGCTACTACAGGAATTGAGATTGTTTGAAAAGGGGAAACTTTCTTTGAATTGTGATAACAAGGCTGCCATTAGCATAGATCATAATCCAGTCCAGCATGACCGAACAAAGCATGTTGAAATTGATCGACACTTCATCAAAGAGAAAGTCACGAGTGGTGTCTTGAGTTTGTGCCAAGTATCATCAGAAAAGCAGCTAGCTGATGTGTTTACCAAAGGTCTCAACAAACGGGCTTTCCATACACTCATTTGCAAGCTGGGCATGTACTACATCTTTGCACCAACTTGAGGGGGGGTGTTGACCAGCTTAATTGTAGGAGAAGAATCATATTTTAATTAATAGCTTGATTGTAGGAAGATTGTATCATAATTAGCTTAACTGAATATTCTGTCATTATTCACTTTTATTTTATTTCCTAGAATAGTTGTAGGACTTCTGCATAAAGACAAGTTTGAGGTGAGATGTAAAATACACAAGAAATACAGAGAAGTCTTCTTCTTCTTCTTGAATTTAACACCATCTAATACCAAGCAATGGGAAGACCAATGCCTAAAAATACTAACTCACAAGGCAATGTGAAAGAATCACATGATTTTAGATGTAAACAACCAGCAGACATGAATTCTTAGCACAGTAGAAAAGATCGATTTTAACTAGTTTTTCTTTGTTACTTTTCTTCTCAACATCTAAAGTCACTCATTTATCTAACATGGTATAACCTAGGACTTCTATATAAAAAAAGAAGGGAATTAAAGTCCCTTTGAATCCTAATTTTGAGCCCAAAAAAGAAAAACCCAAGAAAAGACGTCACAAGATTTGCCATAACAAATAAGTCAACTACGGAAAGAACTACATCGGTAGTACATCAGTACACATTGTACCAATTGGCAGTTGATATAGACCATGGTCAAAAAGTTTAATATGAGCTACTCAAAATCAAGATTACCATATGTTACCCCTACAAATGCATACGTAAAGTCATTTTGAGAAACAGTACTCTGGTATGGGGTTCCATAAATTAGCAAGTTGAGTTACCTAGATATTTGTCTCATCAACTGTTAGAAAATATTTTGCCAGAGAATAACTGAGAAAGTCACAACCTAATAATTTGCATATTACTACACCATTTTCCCAAACACTGAGCATTGATTGCTGACCCATTTTATATCTTAAAGTTCCTCTGAATTTCAAAAAGAAAAAAAAAAAGAACTACATTTTAGATGAGTTACTTCAAATATCCTGGTGGTATCATTTAAAGAAGCCTACTCCAAGTATTCTACATGTTAAAATAAGGAGTAAATGCTGTCCCCTTATCATTCCGCAAACCGAACTAATTAACATTGCTCTAGATGAACAGATCTATCAGATTCAAATATATGTATGTTAAAGGGTCTCAGAATCTGACAGCTGCAACATAACAACAAAAGAAAATGGAATCTATGCTGAATCAGGAAACGGCTGGAATCAGAAACTAAAACAACATGAAGGCTGGATGTTGCTTTCTCTTTTTTACAGCAATTGGTGACAAGTGAATGGACACAATAACTGAGAAAACGATTTCAGAAAGTATATAAGAGAGGAAATAACAACTTATACTCGAAAGAAAAGGATAAGTTGGGTATTCAACAAATGAAGAGAGTACCTGGAAAACTTTGATGAGCTTTAGCTCACCTCTACGTTTAATCTCAAAACCTTTAAGCTCAGCAAGTGTACCATCATCGTTGAAAACTGCATAGCGCTTCTTAATCAGAATACCTTCTTCCTTGGAAGCAGGAAGAATCATTGCCTGCTTGCAGAAGAACAAATTAGAAGGATGATCAACATAGTTATCATGCCTTAGTTTTTTCTTTTTTGAAATTGGTAAGTTAATGTTCTAGTGAGTTATCATGCCTTATTAAACAGCAGAACGTTCCAAAAAGGGATGACAAAATGAACACTGAAGTTTGTTTAAAGATAAGTGCTAGGTGTTTGTGCTTCACCTTATATGGTCCATCGACTTCAAACTCAATTGAGCATTCACTGTGTGTTGTATACGTCTTATTGATGGGGTCCTTCAGAGTCTGAGATATGGAAGAACACAATAATTTCTTTTATACAGTAGAAAACGATGTTTCTAGTTTCTTTAAGGTTACAACACAAATAATAACAGTCATGCAAGAACCATCTGAAAGTGAAACAAGCAAAGTACAGGACCAGTGTCCCCTCAAACCTGGTACTGATCATTGGTGTTGTTTCTTGCCACATCAACATTCAGCATAACACAAGGATAGGAGATCGTCACCTTCTTTTTGGGATCTCTGAAATACATATCCATAATCATCATGATATCCAGTATCACAGCAGAGAAAAATTACCATTCTTAATATAAAGGATATACCTTTACAAAAAAGAATTTATCTTCGAAAATAAATATATACACACGGATTACAAGAATAGAAGAAAGGGTGATAGTAATAACACTTGAAAAAACAATGCATCTTAAGAACTAAATCATACTTTGTCTTGAATGTATAATTCTCAGGAAAAGAGCCTGGTAATGCACACCAGATACCATCTGTGTCTAATTCGAGGGGTTTTCCAATTTTTTCAACCAATAACCGAGCATTCTGAATGATTTTTGCGCCCGTATATGTAACAACTCCAGCCATCTCCATTGAGTACCACCTTGCACCCCTGAAGAAGGGGAAAGGAAACTTTGTAGTGACATTGCCTGAAGAAATATATTGCTACATAGAACAGCACAGGACAGTGTGCTGAGAAATAGCAAATAAACATACTTTCGCATGACATAACCATAAAAGGAATTCAAAATGCATTTATGAGCCAGCTGCAATGAATCGTATAGAACTACCATGTCCTGTGAAAATCAATGAAAATGTAGATCGATTAGTGATATATAACATTATTTATACTCATCAAAACCAGAGTGAGCTCAACTAGTAGAAAGACACATGAATGCACCTGTGCTTCTTGAATTTTTATGGAATTTCCACTAGCCTTTGCTTCAGACAGCTTACCCTTCCAAGCTTTATTAAGCCCTTTGTATTCATATCGCCTATCTCGGAAACTTTTAATAGAAAACAAAAATTCATATGAGAAAACTTGGGAACAGCTGAAAAATTCCAAACTGATGGTGTCATAGTACAGCAAGTCAAAATACTATAGATGAACAAACGATACATAACCAGGTCTTACCTCCGTACGGTGTCAACATAGAAAGGATTTTCTCGCATGCAGATCCCTGCTTCTCGAAGTTCTGTGACCGGCTTTTCCAGGACTCTTTTATATGCCTAAGAAAATAGAAAGAAATGGACCATTCAATTGTGCTAGAAAAGGAAGTGAAAGTAAGATCGCACACCAAACTCAGCACTTACCTTTTGACAGTATTTCTTTAAGCGGTCCTTCAGCTTTGCTTGTTGATCTGCTTTAGGCAAATCAAGAAAAGACTTTGATCGTTGACCATCTCCTACTTCGACAAGTTCAGACTCGAGCTGCCTCTTTATGTGGTAATAATCACTGATATTTGGTATAAACAAAATTTCAAGTTTCAGTAGCAATCCATATAAAGTTGCCTATTTTGTAATAGATGACTAAAAAGTTTACCTTCTCTTTGCCATGTACGTTTCACCACGCCAAACCCATTCAAGCTTCCGGAGACACTTTTTGCCAGGACGATTAAAGTCGCATGCAGTGCATATCTCATCTGAAACTATTGATGGTGGCTGATGGAATCAAGTAACTAAAGTTAATTTAAAATGGTTACCAAATATAAAATGCACACTACATGCACAACAAAGAGATGCAATGCCCCCAACATCAAGTTCCTCACCCATTAGGGGAGGAAACAGAAGTAACAGTCAGTATGTGCCAGCTGTTCAGCACTTGATGTTTTGAGTGCCGATTGGGTGCCAGCTATAAAAAATCCACACGAAGGGTATAGAAGTAGAAGAATTAGATATTTCATTCTAATCCACTCCAGAAAATAAATTTTAACATATACTTTTCAATAAGAAAAAAAATTTAAGTGTGCTTTACCCTCGTCCATATTCATTTTACTTTAGCAACAACAACAACAAGCCCAGTGTATTCCCACAGTGTGGGGTCGGGGAATTCTTTTTACCTTATCAATTTCCTAAAATCATCGCTGTCAAAGGCTCATTTAAGGCGCGTTTTAGCCCTGAAGCTCAGAAAAGCTCAAGGAGGGCGCTTTGCCTCGCTTAAGCTGCGCTTCAGTGTAGGCAAGCCACTAAGGCGTGCGCCTCAATGCCCATGAGTTCTATCTTGAACTGAGCGGTACTAAACAACAAATATTATCAGCAAATAAGTGTATTAGTTGCTGAAGAAAACATTAGGAGTGAATTTGTTCTTTTTTCTTGAAGTACATATATATTTTTATTTTTTCCTTAGTTGCGCCTTCTTTTACAAAAGCCCGCACTTTAACTGCGCTTTGCGCTTAAAACCCCAATCGACATGGAGCGCTTTTTAGAGCTTTTCGCTTTTGACAATACTGCCTAAAATATACACATACAAAAATAACTTGTTGGCCCACAATTTCCTCCATTTAAAACTGAAAGACAGACTTCCAACTTATCTAAGCTGTTCAGAACAGGAAACAAATTCATTCAATATGGGCAAAAGAAAGTAACAAAAGTCATGTATACTAACACGCCAGAGAAGAACATTCTTCACAAAATGGAAAATGAAAACTGACATACCTGAAGCCTATTTGTCAATATGATGTTTGGATACATTGCAGCGACATCAAGATGATATATGAGGGGACATTCTTCCGTTAAAGGATTATCTCGCAATCTCATTAACTGCACTTAGATGGTTAAGACGGTTATGATTAAAAAAAAAATGGTCTGAGAGGAGATAAAGATTCAGCATACATCTAAAGGGTTTTCTCAGATTATTAAGTTACGCAATAAGAGGAAAACAAAAAGGAAATCAGGAACTTCCAAGACAACAAATCCCATTCATGTCGGATATGGCCTTCGGTGCCAGGAGAATACTTGTCAAATCTCTCATGCAGCAGATAAAAGACACATAAAGATGATTGAATGCCTCAACTTAGCAAAAACTATTGAAAATGAAAAAATGAAGGTCGCATTACCTTTTCCATGATGGAATTCTTCACTTCATCATAATTTATGACAGATTCCAAATCCATCTTCCCCTCAACTACAATGGCATACTGCAGATCTCTATCAAGGTTGTTGATCAATAGCTGGAGAAGTTGAGAAACTTAATGTTAGTCACTAGTACAATGGAATAGAAGAGCCCTCGGAAGTATCAAAAGCTAACTACAATATACACCAAAAATTTAAAAGGCAAGTCTTCAAAGAATATAGGATGTAGTTAGTGTACACAACAAGAATACAGCCAACTCATGAGTAGTTGATAATGAATTATGAGATATCTATTGTACTCTCTGTCTGACTCGCTACCCTGCATTTGTGCTTTAGTCTATTCCCAAGCCTATGACAAGAATTCTTTTTTTGAGATGGAAAAATAAAATTGTCATTTAAGCAAGGTCATACGCTTGGTCATTTAAATGACAAAATTTGTGATTCAAAATAGTAAAATTAACATGTACTCGCATTCCATCTGACATCTTTATAGCCTTTATACATTTTCACAACTAACCATCAAACTCAAATCTAATACTTCACAAAAACATTAAACTGCTGAGCTCCATGAAAGGCAACCAAGAACATAAAAATTGGGACGAAACGAACTTATTAGATGTACTCATTATAAGGTTCTATATCAAATAATTTGTAAGGGTGAGAGACAACATACCCAGTGTAATCCCACAAGTGGGGTCTGGGGAGGGTACAGTGTACGCAGACCTTACCCCTGCCTTTAAGAAGGCAGAGAGGTTGTTTTCGGTAAACCCCCGGCTCAGGAAGGGAAAAGGGGAGGGGCAATAATAAGCAAACCGATCTGACAACCGAAACAAAGACAACAAGTAGTAACAGAAGTCTAGGGATACGAAAATACACGAAAGACACTAAGTGGTGTATCAAAGCTACTGTCACAAACAAGGACAACACTCGGCTACCTAACCCTTTACCTTTATTCTCAACCTCCACACCTTCCTATTCATGGTCATATCCTCAATAAACTGGAGCAACGCCATATCTCGCCTAATCACCTCTTCTCTGCCCGAACCATCTAAGTCTCGCCTCCCGCATCTTGTCCTCCACAAGGGCCACACCCACCTTGTCCCGGATAAGTTCACTTCTTTATTTAACCCGGTATGCCCGCGCATCCATCTCAACATATCATTTCAGTCACCTTCATCTTCTGAACATGGGAGTTCTTGACTGGCCAACACTCCACCCCATACATCATAGTCGATCTGACTACCGCTCTATGGAACTTACCTTTAAGTTTTTGTGGCACATTCTTATCACACAAAACACCGGAAGCGAGCCTCCATTTTATCCATCCCGCCCCAATACGGTGTGTGACATCTTCGTCGATCTATCCATTCCCTTATATAAGAGAACCAAGGTACTTGAAACTTTCTCTCATAGGGATGACTTGTGAATCAAGCCTCACGTCTTCGTCCACTTCCTTAGTCGCGCCACTGAACTTGCACTCTAAGTATTCTGTTTTGGTCATGCTCAACTTGAAACCTTTAGACTCAAGAGACTATCTCCAAATCTCTAACCTCTCGTTAACACCACATCGCGTCTTGTCAATCAATACAATGTCATCAGCAAATAACATGCACCACGGCACCTCCCCTTGAATGTGACGCGTCAGCGCATCGATCGCTAGGCCAAACAAAAATGGGTTGAGGGCTGACCCCTGATGCAACCCCATCACAACCGGGAAGTGTTCCAAGTCCCCTCCCATTGTTCTCACCCGAGTCTTAGCACCATCATACATGTCGTTAATAGCCCTAATGTATGCAACAGGAACACCTCTAACCTCCAAACATCTCTGCAACACCTTCATCGGTACTTACTCGTAAGCATTCTCTAAGTCGATGAATACCATATGTAAATCTTTCTTCCTCTCTCTATACTGCTCCATCAAACAACATTTTATATTTAACTGATCGGGGACAAACAGTTAACACTACCTCTAATATTCTAACAGATTAACAATTCACATTCTAAGGAGCACTAACAAGAAGGGTGATGTTGACGCCCGAAAAAGGTTACATTGATGTTTTCTCTCGAATTGTCCTAGTTCTTGGAATGCAGCAATAGTCTCTAGCACCTCCTCCTTAATTGTGCTCCAGCATTGTGGAAGAAACTAGAGAGCAAATGTAAAACCATCATGCCCCGAAGACTTGTCTCGTGCACAGCTATCCGCCTTTCCCCTCACCTCATCTTCCTCAAAAGCCCTTTCCAGTGTTGTGAAGAGCGTGAAGCGAGGAAAAGCGACAAGCCCCTTTTCGCTTAAAGCGAGAAGCGAGAAGCGAAGCGCTCGCTTTTTTGAAGTGAAGCGGAATTTTAAAAAAAAATATTAAAATAAATACTGCATAGACAACCTATGTAACTGTAAGCAAAAAAATGGCAACAACTGAAACGAAAAAAATTGGGCAGCATTTCGCTGCAATTTAAGACTGAAACAGTGAAAGAAAAAGAAGAAGAAGAAGAGAATGAGAAAAAGAAGAACTGGAGGGGGGGGAAATTTTGGCAGCATTTCGCTGCTATTTTGAGACTGAAACAGTGAAAGAAAAAGAAAAAGAAA